TTATTGTCGCAATACTCAAAGGTATATTGTTGTTGCATGGTTTGATTTTGTGCAGCAGAAATAAAGAAACTGGATAGATATGATCCCGGCTTCCAAATATAAGGTGAATATAGCACTAGTGCTGAAAAGATCAGTGAAATTGATATTTTGTGACTCTAAATGTGTTTTTCTTCTCTGTAGATGTAAAGTGATCATTGAAAGTGCTTCTGAATGTCAGCATCCTGATAAACACATAGCACACACAGCTAGCATTATAACTTTTTGTCATAGGGATAGACTTGTTTTGAACATGAAAGATAAACTGAGGAACATAGAAGTAGCTGCCAACAACAGCAAAACAAGAAAGCATCTCTATAAAGGTTGTAGTGAAGCAGGGGGTAAAAGAGTTTAAAAATGTGCCTCTTCTCTCTCCAGGAGTCGTTCAGTTTCTTCCTGAGGTGAAAAATAGAGACAGAAAGCTTTATTATTGTACTAGTGGCCCAATTTGTACACTAACTGCTTCGACTGCGGTGTGGTTTTTGCTTCTTCATGCCATTTGAAGTTTTTCCCTGGGTAACGTCTAATAACCCTATGCCCTAATCTTTCAACAGCTATTTTTTGTTGTCTGTTTGGAAGCTTTCAGTTTCCCTGAAATGGTTCACAACATTCATGAAGTTATTGTAATTTGTTGTCTATTGAGCCAATACAAAAGAAAAAAAAAAGCTGGACTTAGTTTATAAAGACAAACTTTTTGTGGTGTATTTTGACCAAATCTCAATATCAGCCTGGTGTAAATTTAAATAAAATTCAAATAAAACAATTTAAGTTGGGTTTTATGAAGCTTTAAATTGAATTCTGTTCATATTATTAGACATGTAGTATTAATCTACATAAAAAGTACAATAAAAAAAAAGGTCTGTTGTTGCTGCATGGATGCCATTTCTTCAAGGAATACAAACTAATCAAACAAAATGACCCACCCTTCAGTTATTGCATGCAGCTTGAACATGTTTCCCAAGCTCTTTCTGTGAAATATTCTCCATGCTCTACATTTTGAGCAGAGGATTCTCTGCAGAGGTTGTGGTTTTCATCTCATTGAGCAGCAGTGCAACAGTATACACTTTTAAGAATTTGAATTGGCATAATAGTGAACTTAATGATCTGAGCTTTAATTAAGCTTCATATTCCATCTACCTTAGGCTATTCCTCCTCGGCATTCTCTTTGTCTTCCTTCGTCTCCTTTCATCACATTCTCCTCATTCTTTTTACAGCTCCTCTTTTTTCCCATTCCCTCCCTCTAGAGAGGATGTCATTGAGATAGATGTGTGCTCATGATTGGTCAGGGGAAAACCTTGGTGGTTAAAATGCACCAGTTTTGAACAAATTGACTCAGTGTATTTTATTGTATTTATGAGGTCCGAAGTTACAGTCTGCACTGTACTCAGGAGGATTACTGCGTTGGGACAGAATTGTTGAACTACATCAGTTAGATGGTTAATTCAAGATGAAAAATGTGTTTTCTTGTCTTTTTTCCCTTTCTTTTCCCCTCTGCTTTTTGCTTGAAGGATAAGGAGTAGAAGTAGACGTGTAGGTGTAATGATTTAGTGCGAGAAACGGGATGCAAATTCCATGATTGTTCTTGTGGTGCTCATGAGCCACACGAAGAAATCGCTCAGCTGCAACCGAATATGTGACCTGATTTTGTGTGTGTGTGTGTGTGTGTGTGTGTGTGTGTGTGTGTGTGTGTGTGTGTGGTTTGTAACCAGGGTGTGAAGATCATCCCTGCCTCTTTTTGAGTGGCACAGAATTTTGTGAATTTTTGCAGGACTGGATCATACATGATAGCACAAAAAGTCATGCATAAAGTTGAAGATTTCAAAAACAAGGACATACAATTACTGTGGTGGAACTTTTAAATACATCACTGCTCCAAGTTTGACAGAGATATCCATTGGTTTAGATGTGTTTGATCAGGACTAGATCTAAAAATTGGTTGTTGGAAGACTGGAGTTGGGGTTAAGGAAAAGTGTATTTATAAATGATATACACCCACTGGAGGAAACTTAGATTTATTGTGGCTTGAGCATGAATCAAAATCTCTCATATATCAGGGTTGAAACAGGCCAGGCAGGGACAGGATCGAAATTATATTGGAATGGAGTGTAATTCAAAGTTTTCAGACAGTAACGTTCAGTTTAAACGCTTTACACATGAGATTTGAGTATTTTTATGACACAAGTCCTTCAAATACGTTGTGATTACTTTAATGAAATATTACAATAAAAACTAAACAGATGGAGAAACAGAAATAGACACTATTCATTCGGTCTTGTTGTAAAATGATCTCAGTTGTCTACTGGCTTTCTTGCTTGTGTCTTCATTCCCATGTGAATTTGTCCTCGGAGTCATAAACCTTTATTTCTCTCAATGAGTTGCGGTAATAAACAGAACTGCAGGTTGGAGCTTTTACCAAAAGACCCCATTGGGACGTGGGATGATCACTGAGGGTTCCAAAATGAAGCCTCATTTATGGAAACATGAAATAGACTCTCAAGAATCCACAATTACAATACGTGGTCCAAGGACAGGAACTGCAGCTGTTGACTTGTTAGCTTGATGGATGAGCTTATTCCTTTACACCATTAATACCCGTTTGTTTACACAAACGTTGATAATCTTTCATGGTAGGGCATTTATGGGCCTTCACATTTTTGCACTTTTTAGCAAAACTCGTTTCTATAATGACCAGCAGCCCATTTTTTTTTTTCCTTCTGTTTTCACCATCAGCAGTGACGTATTTAGGCAGCAACAGCTCCCCATCTATGAGCCATGCTGTAGATATGGATCTGGACTGTGTTGCAATCCATCTTCATGGCTCATTAAAAATTCTGAGCACCCTGCCTGTTACTCAGGTGCTACGTTTGAGGGGCAAACCCCATTGGAATGAACCCCTGTCGTTGTGAAATGAATATTTGCGCTTTCCCCCAAGTGTTGCAGCAGTTGCAATACAAATCACATCTCTGCTGTGTTATTGCGGTGGAAGCTGAAGGCACCAGGGAGACTGTGCGATGGTCGGTATGGATTCAGTGATATTGCCTGTTCAGTGAGGAATAGACGGCTTATTAGACATAAGTGCTCTCTCTTGTATTATGGCGCACACACTTAACCAGTCAAATGTTGTGTGATGTATTTTTTTTAATTGCTTCTGTAATCATTTCAGTGGAGGTCATTCATGCAGCCTATCAGGCATTTAAAACATGTTTATGCAGCACAATCATCATTGCAGCATATGCCGACATGTTCATTAGACTAGGTATCAAAGTCATAAGAACATCTTTGTAGATTAAAATTGGAGAATCAGAAATTGCTGTGACGAATCTCTCATACTGACAAGATATTACAGAAAATATAAGTGCATAGTGCTGTGTTTCTTCACACGACTGAAGAAAATTCCAGACAGACACGAAACTATTTTAAAAATTCAAAGACAAGCATCTAAAGAAAACAGTGTTACTTTAATTTGCTGGTATGTACGCTAGGTACAAGTAGCTCTTCAGACGCCATCAATCAGTACATCTTACTGACACTTTGCAGGCAAGAGATCATCTTTTAAGTACAAAAATATCAGGCAGACCTAACTAGAAGCAAAGGACAGCAGTATGCACATAATTTCCAGAGTGCAAACACATCAGCTTGGCATGTCAGGTTATTTAAAATGTTTTTTAAATGTATTTTTTACACCAAAGTTGCAACCATCCTTCAGCACACAGTGTTGTTTCCATGCAGTGTGTGCAACGCAGCTAGCTGGAGTGCAGCACAAAGATCTGGGTGCAATTTAAATACATTACCAGTAAATACCAATTGTTGTTTTTATATGATTTTACAATTTCAATGCTGTAAAAGCATATGAGAACTGTGAAAATATTACTGCCTCCCCAAAGCACCTTATATCAGGTACATGAACCTGAAAATAGAATATTTTCCTTCTGTTCTTTTCACTTCTGGAAATGGTAGAAACATCCAGGCAGAGCCGCATGCAAACACACCTTGATTCTCATAACTGTAGCAGTCAGGACTTTCCCAGCAAACACAGCAAGGAGTTGATTGGGCTGCTTCACTGTGATGTTCAAGCTTCTTGTGCTCCATCTTAAGCAACGCTAACAAGCCACTGAGTTATTTTGTACCCTCTTATCACGTCCATAATCCTCAATATAGCCGCAGACAGACATAAAATCACTGTTTGACACTTTGTGACAAAATGTCCATTTGTCCTAAAAACTGAACATGCTGTACAATTTTATTTTGTTTACTTTTATTTTCCGTGTTTAAATGTGGCACATATTTAAAACTGAATCTGTTTTCTGTAGAGCAGCAGTTATTATTGAGACAAACCTTCAAACATAAAGCATTGTGTAATACTGCTTTTATAAGAACAGAACATTTATTTGGAAAGGAAAGAGAAAGAGAAAACCAATAATAAAATCAATATGTAGTACACAAAGTGAACACACAGAGCAGTGTGAATGAAGATTAGTAGCTAGGGTTGATGGACTGAAAGAAAAAAATATATATACCTTTCTTTTGTATTTATGAAATGGGTCGATTGAATTAATCATCAATGAAGAACACAAACGTACTGTAAATTTATTATGTAGCCACATAATAATTTGGCATTGGTTAGCTTTGTGTTTAGATTTTCTGATATTTCCAGTTACATCCCTGGTATATAATTATATTACTACAAAAGTTAAATTTTTTTTTGAGTTACCTTTGATTAATATCAACTGAAACATTAATTTTAGTCTGTATTCTAACTTTTTCTTTATTATGTCACTGCAATTTAATGCTGTTTGTTTGTTTTATGTTTTTATCATGCCAATCATCTTTAATTGCCTTGTTGCTTGATTGTGCTACACAAAGTTACCTTGAATAAAATGGACTCTGTTCATTTGCTTGCTCGTTTTGTCATTATTTAGCTGAACCAACCTGACTATCTTCCATCCATCTGTTTCTTTTTGCAGTATGAGTTTAAGGTGAAAAACATCAAGAAGAAGAAAGTTCACATCGTTGTGTCAACAGACGGAGTCAAGGTTACCTTGAGAAAAAAGAAAAAGGTGAGTGATTTTATTTTTGTCCCTCTCTTTTGCTTTTGTCCATTTAAAGCAAGAGATAATTAAATTAACATCTGCGTGGATCAGTGAATGCTGCTCTGTTTTTTGTTGGATTCTATTAACATGAAGTGGTGGCCTTTTAAATTCCAAAAATTCAGAACTTCAGCAACACCACTACTGTATATATATTTGAAGCCCACTTCTTGTCTTCACCCTAACCCTACCATATATATAAACATTTTATTTATCTGCAAGTTTTTTTTTTTTTTTTTTTTT